GAAGCCTTCAAAAAGTCAGTTGTGTTCCTCTGTACACCTTTCGCAAATCGTTGTTTCATATACAGCAGCTGGGCTTTACATCACTTTGCATAGCTCATGAGCCAGACTAGATGGGATTCACCCTGTGCAGATTCACCTGATTGGGATTCGGGATTCACCTGATTAACGCAGTGTCCGTAATAAAAGAGGTTAAGTTGATATAAATTTACTCTCTGGGGCCAAGATTTAGTGTCCGTTGTCCATATTAGAGAGAGTCGGTATTGCAGAGGATTTTTTGAAGAAAATATATGAGAATTTTGTCGGGACATTGGAAACTGTCCGCAATAGAGAGGTGTCCGTGCCGAGGGGTTCGACTTTTTCTTTTTGCCCCCCCCCCCCCTACCTATCGTCCTTTATGAGCCTACAACAGCTAATGAACAAGTATCAAGAATTACAATGCTGTCATCTGTAGAAGGTGGTATGGCCAGTCCATTAGAGCGCTATCCTATCCATGTGTCCATGAGTTCAGGTCCCACCCTCAGTGAACCCAATCTGTATTTGTTCACAGCACTGGTAAATAGCAAACTGGTTTGGGATTCTTAACAAGACTATGATTATCTGATAAAATTGTTCATTGTTATGTACAAGATATCCAGCCGGATGATTTGTGTAAATGGTAAGCAGCCCAGGTTAATCGTCTCTTTTAATTCTTTTTCTTTTTCACTTCAGCTGAAGAACCTGGTAATTTTCATAGTATAATTGTCAATGATGATCTTGAAATAGCCTACAATGAATTCAAGGACACTATCAGCAAGGTAAAATACTCATTTTGTTTTTTTTTTATAGTCCAGGGTAAGAAACCTTTCTTGACAACAGCTTCCTTGTGCCCTCTGTACCTGTGTGGCCACATCATTAAAAGTCAATAAAATAGACCAATTTCGTTATATTAAAATTCATACTTGACTGCGAGGCTTGGGGAATAATACTAAAGAAGTCATCTCGGAGCTCCAAAATGAACAACACATTTCTTTTGTTTTATTCCCCGAAGCCTCGTAGCCAAGTATGAATTGTCAAAATTGGTCTCTTGTCTGCACTCTCAAAGCCCGTTTCCCGTTTCTGCTGTTTATGCATCACTCGTCTTGTGACTTTCTTGCTCGCTTTCGCTCACTTCGCAAGCGTCCCTTGCAGCATTTTGGGTGCTCTCGCAGTCGACTTGTGGCAAATATACTGGACTGCTAGTTCCGGTTCCTGTGAATTCAGCCAGAAGAATGTCCAACTAACCTCCTGCCACGGCCCCTACCGGAACCCCCTCCCCCCTTCCCCTCGCACGCACACGAACGTCATTGCCACAACAATGTTATGTTGTCTCTTTTGTCTGTTCTAGAACGTCATTTCCCTTTCTTAGCTTTTGAAGCAGGGAAACATGGAGGGAACAACACCATAGAGCTAGTGACAATGAACGAAATACACACAAATCAAAGGCAACGTATTTATGGCTGTTTGCTATTTACTCGAGGAAATCAGTTGCTCCATCATTTCGTCCACAGACTTTAAAATATAATTATATTGAAAGAATTTTAAGAAAGATGTTTGTGGACAGTTTCTAAAGGCTGGAGTTGCTGGCGACGCTTTGGAACAAAGAAAACTAACAAAATCGCCAAGCGTGTTTCTCTTTCCTGATATTATTAAAGAATGTTGGTGTAAATAGTAGCAGTCAGTTCATTAACTAAATGACTTAGGAAATTTCCCTCCGTTTTTTGAGGGACTGTAATATCACAAGTTATTTATATTGGATTTGCATTGTATAGGCTGGGTGTACAGGTTAGTTTTAGCTTTACGAGATTACTGAAAAGTCAATACAATTGTTAGCTACATATAGAAGCAGTTTTGTATTGTCCCAGCATCTTTACTATGTGTATATTGTCACCAGCATATTGTATCTAGTCAATCGATAGAAATCGATATCGGAAATCAATGTCAAACAATATCATTTACCCATTGTTATTGATCAGTATCGGAAATCGATGACAATCACAGAAAGTATTGATTTTTATCAAATGACAAAAATCGATAACAATCAATAGTATTTGGTAAGTAATAACTCATTAATGAGGCTCACAGCATAATACCCAAAAATAGAGTGAGCCTCATTCAGCAACAACACAAAGACAGAACAAAACAAACAACAATACAATATTTAATATTTTCGGTTTTTTCTCTCTATTGTAAGGTTAGACTGCGCTGTTGATTGTCTTAGCTACGTCCTAGAATTGACTTTCATACTCACTATACCGTGGGAGATATCTTCTGGATATAGCGCTTTGATTGCATCAAGGTTATTGGATGCAGTGAACTGTATACTTTGTTGCCCTCGAAGTACCTCAGAACATCACTAAACGACCTCTCCCCAACAGATTCTCCTAGTTGACTGCATATTTTAAAAGCTTGCATAACTGTTGGCATTATTTTAGAAAAATACAGACACTGCCTCGTGGCCTATTACACTATTTAGGGGAGAAGTCTTGCGGATAGCGATTTTAACGCGCCCTGTGAAGGAGGGACTGCTCGTAGTCTACCGAAGACGCATACGTGTTACGTCTACTGCGCGTTCTTCAGGAGCTCTAGAATTGAATCTAGATGGGGACTCGGGAAACCGGAGAAATCGATACAGACGTTTTCTATTTCCTCAGAGCGCGTTGACCAGACAGACTTACATGGCACTCACATAAACACATCCTACCAGATTAAAGTTAGTTTTTGCATCCTTTGCCTGAAGTAAGAACTTTTGTTTTAAAGCGTTTATAATACATCCCTACTTGCACAAGCTTTGTACATAAGCGAAGTTCAATCGCAGACTCAGCACTAGCCTGCGTGGAAGGCGTTTGTAGGGGAAGGGAAAGGGGAAACTGAGGTGAGAGATAACAGGATAGACGGGAGAAGAAGGAGGGAAGGGAACGCCTACGTACAGTCTTCATTTCTATTGCGGGAGCCATCTCACATGAACCATATCTCGTATTTCTTGAACTTCTTGATAGAAATGAGACAAAAAACGCATAAAACTGAAAGAAGTCAACAGAAGAAATACTATTGTATCTGGCTTTTACCTTCAAATTTTGTGTCCGCCTTTGCATCCTAAATTTGTTTTGATGTTTTGAAATCGGGT